CAGGAATGTGTCTGTAACATGCTACATTAACAGAGTTCTAGGACTGCCCTTTTAGTAGAGGTTGAGCAGTAGTATATTTCTCCTACAAAAAAGGGAAAAGAAAAAGAAGAAAATACAAAAAAGTGATTAGGGCAGTCATTGATCCTGCCTTTATTCTTTCTCTCTTTCTCCTTTCCGTCCTCCTACCCTCACCTTCCCCTTCCTGTCCTTCCTTTCCTTACTTCCCTTTCTTCCCTCTTACCCACCATCCCTTCCTTCCTTCATTTTCATCTGTTTCTATGAATAGTTTGTGTGTGTGTGTGTGTGTGTGTGTGTGTGTGTGTGTGTGTGTGATTTCAGAGAGGGAGAAAGAGGGGGAGGAATAGGGGGAGAGAGATAGAAACATCAATGATGAGAGAGAATCATTGATTGGCTGCTTCCTGCACGCCCCCCACTGGGGATTGAGCCCCGTAAGCTGGGCATGTGCCCTTGACTGGAATTGAACCTGGGACCCTTCAGTCCATAGGCCGACGCTCTGTCCACGAAGCCAAACCGGCTAGGGCTATCAACAGTTTTTCTTAAAGAACTTTTCAAATAATTAATTTATTGCAAGATTTCTTTAAAAGGTTTTCTATTGACATTTAGAGAGAGAGAAAGGGAAAGGAAAAAAGAGAAACAGTGGTGCTGGAGCATCTATCTGCCTCCTCCTGCACACCCCCCACAGGGGTTTGAGCTCCCAACCCAGTCAACCTGGGAATGTGCCTTGACTGGAAATCAAACCAGCAACCTTTCAGTGCACTGGACAAGGCCCAACCAGCTGAGCCACACCGGCCAGGGCTATTGCAAGATTAGTTAACATGGAACATAATTAAAACTGTTCTTGAGAAGCATACCTGTAGAGGATAAAGCAAATTTTTAATGTAGAAACTGAATGTAAAAGCCCATTCTAGGTACCTGAGTGTTGACAGAATTTAACAAGGACCTTATATTTGGACCAAAAAACAGAACCTTCTTGTCCTTTTTAATCTTGATTTTGTTAATTCAACTCTCTTCCTAGGCAAATACTTCCATATCACCGTGACTTACCTTGAAAAGAACTAACATTTCCTTTTATAGACCAACTTCACTACCCTGGAAGATGTTAGAGTAAAAATATATATATATAGTCATTATCTTTTAATGCCAGTAAAACGTCATACTAACATAGGATAAGGGAGTGAAAATGTTGAAGTGCTTTTTAGGAGAAATTGAAGG